AATATTTTTTTTAATAAGACTTTAGGGCATTCTGCTGTCTCATTACAGCTCTCACTTTTGAGGTCTACATTCAGCATTAGTAGCAATAGTCCCTGGAACTATTTTTGTGCCTTGCATTAAACATATAGTTGCAAGTCTTACCAGATCTTATACAGAAAGGAGCAGCAAAGATTAAATGTCATACGTAAAAAGGATTCTCTTTCTTCCATATCCTTTCTTCTTGTAAAGTGAGCCCTACATGAGTTTGGATGTACAGAAGGTTTACTTATTAAGCAGAAAATCCCACTCTCTTGAAAGATTCTTCTATCACACCTTGTAGGTTTACTTTAATTCTGATATGCCCACTTTTTTCCCATTTAGCATAAACTGAAAATCTCAGTTCTGCTTCCTAAAAGGATTTTCATGCAACCTGGGCATCTGTAGGCCTGAAATGATAGATGTCTTAACAATTGCAGACCCTTAGAAAAGGTGTGTTTTGAAGTGCTGCTGTTCAAATCCTTTTTTTTTTTTTTCTTTTTTTTTTTTTCTTTTTTTCAAGTCAGAGTCAAGACAAAGAAGAGAGAGACCAAGGTCAGAGACCAACAGCAAGCTAGTTTTAAAATGGCTGTTCTTATTCGAGTTTCAACACTAGCTGGAATTTAAATTACAATAAAGTGAATCACCCATGTTTCTTTTCTAAATGTTCTGTTCTGAAGCAAAGGCAACTCTGAAAACGGGAGGATCTTCAAATAATATCTAGATAGACCAGAAATGCTAAACCTGTGACAGTCAAGATTCACTCTGAAGAGTTGTTGAGATGGCATGTCTCCCAAATTCAGTGAAACCAGCACTGGAACAGCAGGGCTTATCAGCTTGGATTGCACTGCTGAGATCTCACTTGTGCTTTCTGGTGGGGCTGGGGTTTCCTTGCAGGGACTAGACCATGACATAAGATTAAAAAAGTAACATAAATGAAAAATACTCCTGAGGTTGCTCTGAAATGAGCTGGGAGAATTTGTACTTTCTAATCATTATTAGTACAGCAAAATTGCAATGGAAAGAGACATTATAATACAGAAAAAGCAAAAGACCAAGTTTTTCCACTGCAATTTCCTTTATTTAGAAGAATTCGTAACGCTAGGTGAAATGTCATTCTGCTTCCCAAAACAAAACAAAACTCTTTGCCAGAAGTTTGCTGGATTCCAAATAAATTTAAAAACCATTACTTTAAAAAAAAAAAAAAAAAAAAAAAAAAAAAAAAAAACACTTTAGAAAGTTCTGAAAGTGCACCCCTTGCCAAAACATTGTAATTGACTGTGTTGTGAGAAAATGTGGTTCAGTTTGATTAATACAGCTTCTAAAACACTGGAAAGTACTGGCCAGTTTTGCAAGTATGCATTCATTCAATAGTCTTCTCACCCTTTGTGGGAATCCAAAGGTATGCACATGCAGGAATCTAAACAAATAATAACGTAAAATATGTACAATTGACTTCAAGCTCAAACTCAAAAATATTCTGGCTTCTCTGTATTTGCTGTTAAAAAGTCTTGAAGAATCATGTCTAGCATTTCCTCAGAGCAATGAAAATTAGACACTTTCTTAGGAAAACTTCACACCTTAATTATTTTGACACTCCACTGCAATGTTTAATAGAAATACAAAATGCTGGCATTAGAAAGATTTGGCACAATTTTAAACTTGCAACCCAGTACAGAGAAATCACTTAGAGAAGTACTAGAGGAAAACGTGTATACAAGATCATGCATTGATAACAACATCTGGAAAAACACCAAGTGAAAGCAAAGCAACTAGATGAATGTAGAAGTTACTTTATTACCAAATTGCTACATTATGCACTAGTATAAATGTGTTGTGTTAAACTCACATAGAGAACATGCAAACTGATTTTTATAAAAATAAAATTATCTAAAACCTGCATTTGACATGCACAAAATGTCTTATGGGACTCCAGAAAGCTTCTCCTCCTATCATTACCATTCTTTTCCCCACTTTCAGGGGCCAACCAGAAGCAGAAGTGCTGAAGCAGCAGAAGGAGGTCTGCTGCACTGTACTTCCGTCCTAAAGAGAGAAAGCACTAACAACCCAATCTGAAAGCCTGATCTCACCAATTTGCTGACAGAGAAGATCCCTGATGAGACAGAGATGAGCACCTCCTTACTGTAGGATTTTTTCTGGGAGAGGGTCAGGAGAAATCTCACCAGTATTCAAGATGGTGTCTGTACACCTTGCCCTCCCAGATGCCTATATGTGGCTCTGGGCAGTTGTTAGCATCCACAGCTGTATTCCCCATAGCCAAATGGAGATGCCACAATGGCCTTGTAAGGCCCTGTGCCCCAGGACAGACGCTTAGGTAGAAGTAAAAACAGAACCCATAGCTATGGCCAGCAGGGTAGCAGCACTGGGTCCAGTAGGACTCATTTGAGAGGCAGCCCCAGCCCGCAGGTTCCCACTCTGACAGACTCTGGCTGTCTTCAAAGAATGCTGCCACAGAGCAGGGCAAAAGCTTGCTCTTAGACCCTTGACCCTTCTCTCCCTTGCTCAGGCACACCCTGTCAGACATGCACCTCATGATGAAGGTATATCCCTTCCAAAAGTTCCTGGCACACCTGCAGGCTCCAAGGGAACCTTACCAGTTTTGATAGGTGGGCCCACATGAACCTCATGAAGTTCACCAAGACCAAGTTCAAGGCCCTGCACATGTGTCAAAGCAATCTCAAGCACAAATACATGCTGGGCAGAGAATGGATAGAGGGCAGCCCTGCAGAGAAAGACTTGAGGGTACTGGATAATGAAAAGCTCAATGTTGAGCCAGCAATATGTGCTTGCACCCTGGAAAGACAACCACATCCTAGGCTGCATCAAAGGAAGAGTAGCTAGCAGGGTCAAGTGGGGTGATTCTCTTCCTCTACTTCACTCTTGTGAAAATTCAGTTGGAGCATTGCATCCAGCTCTGGGTCTTCCAGCACAAGAAGGATATGGACCTATTAGAGTGAGCCTAGATGAGGGCCACAAAGATGATCTGAGGGCTGGAGCACCTCTCTTGTGAAGACTATCTGAGAAAGTTAGGATTATTTGGCCTAGAAAAGAGAAGGCTTTGGGCAGAAGTGGTCTTCCAGTACTTCAAGGGGGCCTACAGGAAAGCTGGAGAGGGGTTCATTGTGAGGGAATGTAGTGATAGGTAGGTTAACATGACACATAAGGAAGAAGTTCTTCATTCTGATGGTGGTGAGGCACTGGAACAGGTTGACCAGAGAAGCTGTGGATGCCCCATACCTAGAAGTGTTCAAGGCCAGGCTGGATGGGGCTTTGAGCAACCTGGTCTGGTGGGAGGTGTCCCTGTCCATGGCAGGGGGGGTTGGAACTATGTTCCTTCAAACCAAACCATTCTATGATTCTACAATACCAAATTGCTCCCCCTTCCCCAAAACCTCTCATATATTAACATGCTTAAAAATGCATGATAAAAGTAGTTATATTAAGTCCCACTTATTAAAAGCAGATTATTGCAAATATGTACTCTGATTTCCAAGCAAAGCCACAAAGTTGTTTGTTGTTTTGTTTTGTTTTTTTTTTTTAAAAAAAAAAGGGCTTAATGCAAGTTATTTTGGCAAAATATTTTCCCAACGGCATAGGCTAGTGAACAAAGTGATTACAAGAAGATATGGTATGTACCATGAATTCTTTTTGGTATGCACAGAACATTTTAAGGTGTTATAATGCTACAATGCCATGTTTAAAGAAAAATAAAATAAAATCACAGGCTTTTTAAGTTATTCAGAAAATAATAAAATGTTTGCTCTGTATTAAAGGTACTATTAAAGAAAAAAGAAGATTTTATAACCCATGTTTTAATAACACTGATTACAAGATGAGGAGTGTTTATCTAAAAGAACAAGATGAATGTTTCTTATGGCCTTAATCCAAAATCTCTTGAAACTGAAGAGTTTTTCCCAATGACTTCAATGGGCTTTGGTTCAGGCCTCAAGACCATTTGTCATTATAAGATGCACCTACTCATTTCAGACCAATATCCCTCTCCTCCCCCCCCCCAAAAAAGGCAAAAAAAAAAAAAAAAAAAAAGCTACATCTGCCTCCAGTATGTCCAGTATGTCTGTAGCCCAGACTAAGCCTGAGAACCTCACAAGCAGTTGACACAATAATCTTTTGAGCAGCAGGAGAAGATGGCTTTTTGTAATGCCCTCATGACATTTCTAGCATGAGGCATACAGTATCAGGAGGCTAATAAGTTTTCCTGTAGTATGAATACCCCTGTATCTCATGAGTTTCCCCTCAGAATACCCATATGCAGTCCAAAACATTGTTATTTACAGAAGAAACAACAACAGAAGGCTGAATAATTTTGCACAACACAAAAAGCATGGGAAGGCACTCAGTCTGTGTTTAATCCCACACATCAGAAAAACACTGTTAGGAAAGATAAGCAGGCATGGAGATTTGGGTCTAGTTAGGGCAGTGTCTAATACCTAGTTAGAGTCTGTTTAGCAGACTGCTACCTCCAACGGTGTCACCATAAAGCTGTTGCCCAGTAATGAGTCCTGTGCCTCTGGCTTCCTGCAGTGCTGAGTCACCTCCATCACAGAGAGTCAGATGAATTGACCAGCTTGAGCTCAAAGCAGGTAAGGAGGACCGGTAGAATCCCTTGCTCTGTCTTTAGGAGAATGTCTGAAAAATCCCAACTGCTTCAGAAATTAATATTGCAGTGGTTTGGGTTGATTTCTTTTTTTTTTTTTTTTTCAACGTGGAATAGCTCTTTCCACAAAAGCACCCTTAACAGGCATCAAGATAACCCACCCACATGAAACAGTAATGCATATAGTTAGTGAACTCTTCTTTCTCCAATTCTATAAGCATTGGTCTACTGTAAGCACATTTTTTCATACCCAGGCACAGTCCTTTAGATAACCAGGGATGTGTTTCATTCTTTATGTCATCTGTGGGATGCCAGATGCACCCTCACCCCCACAATCTCACATTAATACCTTTTTTTTCACAGTGAAGCAGGAACATTTCTTCACATGTCCAACAGGGAGCTGGTTAGTTAGCTGAACCTCTTGCTGTCTTCACACTTCCCAAGTACTCGATTTAAGGTGTACTAACAAGTTTTTCTACTGGAGTTAGAAGTCTGTCAAAAGAGTCTTTTGTATGGGAGCAGAGTTTTCCACATTTCCCACAACATCCACTTCGTGCTGTAGAAACAAAGTTTTAATTTACTTAGCTAATCTTACAAATAAGACTTGCATTCCTAATTTATAGAGATAACTCAAGGTTTGACTGCAATGGAAATAAATTGCTTAATTAAAGGCTGCAGACGACTATCTGAATGTAACTGTTCACTTCAGATACCTGGTTAACAGAATGAGTAAAAAAATTACAAAGATAGTCACTCATTATAAACAAAGATGCTGCAGAATGTTGACAAAAAGCCAGCACCTTTAAAGATAGAAAAGTGTTAGAAAATCATACAGGATGTAGAAGTACAGGCCACAGCAAAGTCAGAGGTGAACTTACACTGAAAACCAAAGTCATTGCTTCCACACACCCTTTTGTTTGGAAATGCTTGGGTTTGCAAGTTAATGAACAACAAAATCCTTACGCTTTTACCACTGCATGCTTTTCAACATGTCAAGACAGAGTTCATTCACAAACATATCTATTTATAAATATAAAAACTGGGTCTGTCTTTTAAGAACAATATTTCATATGGAGGAAATGCATTAGTGAATGTTGTGGTTGTCCTCTGAGAAATACCTAAGAGAGGGCAAGGGCAAAGAATATATTAAAGGAAAAAAGAACAGAGGAAGCAAAGATGGAACAAAATACCTTCATTTCATAAAGAAACAAATTCTTTATTCCCAGTTCTCTCAGTGTTAACAGGTTATAATTTAAAATACTTCCCTGATAATTTATGCAGAAATGATCACCTAACAGCTGGGAACAGAAAAATGCACTAAGGAGACACAGTTGATGTGAAAACACGACAGTAGGAAAAACTTAAACACAACATCCCCTCCTTGGTATGAAAAACACATGGCTATTAGCTCTTTTAGAAGATATTTCTCCTAATATTTCAGCTTACCTCTCAAATATATATTTAATTTAAATCTGATGTGAAAGTAATTAAATGGTAAACCATGTCAGTTTATGAAAAATGTATTCATAGAATTAAGAGCTGTAGATTTTTACAGTAACTGTAAAACCACAGACTATTCCCTCAGTTCAAGAATAATCAGCCTCAGCTGCAATCATATTACATCTAAATTAAATTAATGCTATGCACCTGAAATATTTCTGTTTTTAAATGATTTAAGAGACAGTCCCTATGTGGTCAATTACTTCTCTAGTTTGCTGCCTATTTTCTTACCTACCATCATGTTGTTAATTACAATGTCCTTTGTGGTTCTGAATGGAATTCCTTTCATTTATTAATGGTGATATATATCAAATAGTTACCTTTAAAGAAGACTAAGAATTAGAGTTAGGCAACAACCTTGTAAGATTGTTAAAACTGATTGTTATGAATCGAAATTACAATAGCTCACAATGTCTCCAGTGACCACTTTAGTAGTTTGAAAAGAAATTTGAAACACTATGTGGAGGGTGGCTCCTACATAAAACATCTTCTCCAGTAACAAATATAAAATACTTGGCAATAAAAGCCATATTCTGTAAATCTCCATTATGATTATTTATTACCTTGTGCATGGAAACCAATGTTCAATTAAATGAATGCATTAATTTTATTTTGTTTTATTTTTCTAATTCCACCAGTTTTAGAGTTAGCAAAAGAACCTACTAAACAGATGGGTTATTTCCAGTTTTAGACACAGGTCTTTAAAAGGACAGTTAAACCATCAGGTACACTGCATTTGAGATAAAGTAAAGTTCCTCTTTCAGATCAATAGAAATGAGAAGTAACTACATCGGATTCTGCGTTCCCTCAGTATTGTATTATTTTAAATTCCGACTCTCCTGGAGATTTATAACCCTGTGAACCCCATACTATTTCCAGCTCCTGCCATAACCTCAGTTATATTACTTCCCTCTGCTTGTGCAATCTTGCTAAAGATTCACTAATTTCAGCTTCATTTTAGCTAACATTCAGCTTAATTTTAGCTAACTTCAGCTAAAATGTAGAACCATACTTTTAATGTACTCTATGTAAAGCAACTGGACCAGGCCTGGATTGGGCAGAGTGCTGAGATGCTCAACACAGGAGTTGGGGAGAGATTGGGAGCATAGCTGTGATGGTTGAAATTCCACCTTCTCCCCACCTAAAGGCCCCAAAGCTCCCCCACACCTGTTTTTGACAGTCAAGTGCCTGCAGCTGACACAAGGAGGTACCCATTCTGCTCCTGAGCTAGAAACCTCACAAGGCTGCTCTCAGCTCTTCTGGGTACACCAGGCCAACTGTGGGCCACCAAACTTGAGTGGTCTGGATACTTGTCTCAGCCAGGCAATTTGCTGTTGTGTCTGATTGCAGGACCTCAGGCATACCTGTTCAAGCTGTGGCCCAGCTGTCATGCACCTTGGTGTGGACACTATACGCTCCCATAGGAGTAGGCCCACCATCCATGCTGCTATTCAAAGGACCAGTGCTCTCTCTTCTCCTCTGGGCATGGTGGGGTTTCACATGGCCACTTAGTATCACCAACAAAACCTCTCTAAGCTCAGTAATAGCGATTTGGTGGACTATGCAATACATGTCTTTCCAGAAGGAGCCTATCATCCGTGTTTTCTGCAAGCCAGAAGCCACCTACACCAAGGCAGGAAGAAACACTGAAGACAAACTTTGCATAAGATCTAATTTTGACTGGAGTCACACTCATGCTACAACAGCATGTGTGCTTTACAGCATAGCAGTACTTTACTTTAAAGGTCACTTGCATAGATCTGTCAGGGTAGGTATCCATACTCTGAGGTCCATATGAAATGCTTGGCTGAGCCCCCAAAGCACTAGAGCAGTGCTCCAGAGGAGTCCTTGTGCCGAGCTGTCCTCCAGACTTTTTCCTGGCACAATCCCAAGTACTGTGGCTGACTGGAAGTAGTGCCAAACAAAGAGTTTCTGGAGCACTAGGAGAAGCTAGTTTTGGATTCAAACCTGCATAATACCTCAAGCAGCCCTGGAACATCTGCACATTCCACAGAGGGTAAATGAAGAAACATCCCCTAGTGAACTGTATTTATCTGAATATGCATTGCCCTTTGCTTTTTGTGTGCATGTACATTCGTATGTGCATGCACATACTTTTCTTTTGGCCCTGAACGTGGTGTTATTGTCTTATATCTTGTCTTCTAAAAGCAGGCATGCATGCACGTGCAGAGATTGCCTTATACTTGGGATCACGTAACAAGCCAAGGGACCCAGCCTTCTGCAGTTGTAACCCAGTGTTAGGAGCCCCCACTAAGTATCTGTCAAGGAAGAGCAGTGGCTTTAGAGTCCTGGTGCTACAGTCTTCAACACCCAGCATAGGGCAAGACAGGAGTATTGGGTACAAAGTGTTTTTACAGAATTTTTCTGGAAAGGAAGCCCTGTAAAACTAACTCTCCTATGTTTTAATACAGTAGCTGCAGTACATTTTGGTCTAGGGAAAGCCTTACCAGATTATCATGGGCTTGGTTCACCTTGCCAGCTGAGCACATATAATACTCCTTGATTGTCCAAACCTCATATAGCTGACTGAGGGAGCCAGCAATTTGTTATATGTGCAAGCTGGGCAAAAGTAAAAGATTACACACAGTGTCACTTTGGGAAGAAAAAAAAAAAAAAAAAAAAAAAAAGAGAGAGACCAAAATTCAGTTTTCTAATAATATAAAAGTAAACCTCATTCACGGAGCCATGTCATTGTTCATACTGTATCTTCTAGTACTCCTTTCCCTGTGTCTGTGAGAAAATTCCCCAAACTTGACTTTTGCCATGCAATAACATTTTGTAAACTTATTTATACAATAGGAAAGTATATTATTCCTTCCAATATGAATTCAGAACTTTCTTTGAGATAGAATCTGACTTTGCTAGCAGATTTCTTCTTCATATTGTAGGGTAACTGGAGTGCTCTTTCAGAGAATATTTTCTGGTAGATTCTAGCCAGCTAGCAACTATGAGTTACTGTTTATTCAAGGTCCAACTAAAAACAGTAAAACATGACATTATTTAATTATATGACTGTGGCTGTTTCATCCTTATATTCGTTTGGCAAACACCTTGAGGTCTGACATCTTTTAAAAGTGCTTTATCCCAAAAAGTGTCCCTGAGCTCCTGCCTAGTAAGCATCTGACCTACTTCCTTCAGTCCCACATGGCCATTGAGATGATTTGTCCAAACACGAAGTCAAGTGATATCTAATAAATTCTTCCAGTAATGTAAGAAACAAGATTCAAATTCATATCTGTAATAAAAGTCTGAGTTACAGTTACTATGAAGAAATTTCCCCTTGACTTATTATGATGTTCAAAGCCATGCAACAAACATGTCTTTCTGGGTCAGACATTAGGGAAATCATTGGAGGAAACTGAGAATCGTGATGGTGAGAATATGATGGTGAATGAATGAAGCTGCCTATCAAAGCTTGTAATAATAAGGCCAATTGTACTTATCAGTTTGCACTGTGGATGAATCCTTTATTCTTACATACTTGTTTATATTGTGCTGTTTATGGTTTTGTCCTCCCTATAGTCCCAATAGACAAGGCAGCTGAAAGGATCATTCAATAACTCAAATCTCAGACAGTGCCAGAACTGGATGCAGATGGTGGTCTTGCTAGTTTGCACCAGCATGGTGCAGGAGGAATGCACATCTGCAAGTTAGTTTTATCACTTAGTTTCCCCACTTAGACTATGACACACCAGTCCTCCCTGCCCTATGATTACAATTCCATTCTCCCATCTACAGTGCTTACTGTATACAGGAGTCAGCTGCTCAATGTGGTTGCCCAAGGCACCATCGGATACTATAGCCCTTTGGCTCTTTGTGCTCTGGGAGACATGAACCATAAGAAAATGCTGTCATGCACCAAGACTTTGCTTTGGCACATTTGACTGCTATACCCAAATCCCTCCTGCCTTTTATTTCAGCTTCCCACTAGATCAAGTTGTCAAGGGCCTCATCTGACCTGGCCTTGAACATCTCCATGGAAGGGGCATCCACAATCTCTCTGGGAGACCTGTGCTTCACCATCCTCTGAGTGGAGAATTTCCTCCTAATCTGTCATCTAAATTTCCCCTCTTTAATTTAAAACCATTTCTCTTGTCCTGTCACTATCTGCTTGAGTAAAAAGTTGCTTTCCATTTTTTTATAAGCCCCCTTTAAGTACCAAAAGGCTGCAATTAGGTCACCCCAGAGCCTTTTCCTCTTCAGGCTGAACAGCCCCAGCTCTCTCAGCCTTTCTTCACAGGAGATGTGCTCCAGCCCTCTGATCATCTTCGTGGCCCTCCTCTGGACCCCTTCTAACAGATCAACATCCTTCTTCTGCTGGGGGATCCCAGATGTGGATGTAGTACTCTAGGTGGGGCCTCAGAAGGGCAGAGCAGAGGGGGGACAATCCCCTCCCTTGACCTGCTGGCCAGTCCTCTGTTGATGCAGCCCAGGACACAGTTGGCCTTCTGGGCTGCAAGCATGCACTGCTGGCTCATGCTGAGCCTTTCATCCACCAGAACACCCAAGTCCTTCTCCAAAGGGCTGCTCTCAGTGAGTTCTTCTTCCAGTCTTTACTCATGTCTGAGATGCCCACACCCAGGTGCAGCACCTTGCTCTTGGACTTGTTAAACCTCATGAGGTTCACGTGGGCCCACTTCTCCAGCCTGTCCAGGTCCCTTTGGATGAATGTAGTTGATTAATGAAGTATATGAACATGAGAACAAGAAACCTAGGAGAAACAAAGAACTTAGAGTAAATAAACTTCTTTTTTTTTTTTTTTTTTATTTATCCTTTATTTATTAATAGCACCCAAAGCTGCATTATATTAACACAAGCAATAAAGTTTTCATATTTTATTCCTACCAGTGCATTTCCAAATCCAGGTGAAATGCTGGAAACAAGTAACGCTGCCATACCATGAACATAGAGTTTAGATCACAATGATACATGACTTAAAATGTATCCCCATGTAATTAAAAAAAAACAAAACAAAAAAACACGCACAACAAAACAATCAATAGTTTAGGCATGATATCTGTAACCTAAGGGACTGTGGCCATTTCTACTTTGACGTGTACCACAACAAAAAAACAGCTGTAGGAACTATAAAGATAACATACTTAATCATACTTTTTGCATTACTTTATTGAATACTCCATGTTCTGGACGTACAACTTATAGCTATAGTGTGTGTTGGCTACAATACTACAACGAGAATGTGTATTTCTTGTATTACAGAAAGAGTCGTGAAATGTATGGACCTGTCTGCATGTTTAACAAAAGGAAACAGCAATACAATAAAACTGTACCACATGTGAATATTGTAAATGATTAAGTTATAAAGTCATTTGTTCAAAAAATCCAAATATTTCAAAGAAAAAAGCATATAAAATGTAGTAAAACATAAATTACATTTTAAGGTCTGTACATGATTCATCCTGCAAATAGAAGACAAAACCAGCACTCTGTACAATATTGCTTATTTTGGTCTTCTAAAGTTCAAAGAACCATTTTCACTAAAGAGGCAGGAAAAAAAAACACATGGTTTCACATGCAATCCAGCAGTAATTGCAGTAAATCAAGTGAGTTTATAACCCCGCACAAACCCCAACATTTTTACAATGTAGGAACATGTATGTGGAGCCTTTTTTACTTGACAACCAATATGCAATTAAAGTTGGATTGTTAAGTTAGTGCATACCTACAATATCCCCATTTTTGATTAACAGTGTATTAAGGCTGCTTGCTGCTGAAAATACACAGCAGAGAAGAAATACTTTCATCCACAAATGCAGTCAGACGATGTCATTTGGAAGCTTCTGTCACAGTCATTTATTGGGAATGATGAAAGAAAGACATCCTCTCTTCTCTCATGTTATTCCACAGGTTGTTGTGGATGCTATAAGTTTTTGTGGGTTCCCAATCATTTTGGATAAATTCATGGAAGAAAATTCCATTGAAGGTAATGAAACAACAACAAAAAAAAAAAATTCCACCTCTGACTTGGGAAGTCCCTACGCCACAAGTTGCTGGAGCCTGGAGAAATACCCTGGGGAAATGGTTCAAGGGAAATTGCCCTTGTACTCTTCCCTGGGCAAGCACTATTGACTGTCTATGGAGACACGTATATGGGCTAGACAGACCCATGGTCTCACTCAGCACAGCCAATTTTACGTTCGGTTTCTCTACTTTCCTTATAATACAACCATGGATCAGTATTCTCAACTTGTTAGTTTTTCAGACTCAAAAAGCAAACAACAATCTTGTGTCCATTATATCAAAGAGATAAATACTATAAACTAAGCTGTTCATCACAACCAGGGCACTTCTATATGCTGAGGGCAACTGTAGTTGGATTCCTTTTTGTGTTATTGGTTTAAGCATAATTCACTAACATTACACTCACATATCATGATATACATGATGTGCAATGCTACTCAGCAATATGTTGCACAGCAACAGTACATTACTGAAAAGCAGCTTCCCTCAAGAACTGTAGGACTGTAAAAAAGATTAAACCCAGCAATTCCATACCATCATATTTGCAAAATGCTGATGGTGACAATGGTCAATAAACCCATTATATCATTATTGCTGTAATTTACATGGGTGTAGATTTTTGGTTGTGCTTCTTTTAGTCAAATCAAATTCATTGATCTTTAGCCTAAAGATCTACAGTCTCCAATCACAGAAGTGATGTGAAATCCTTAGTAATGAGGCCACATTTCTTAGGCTTCAGACTGAATTTCTGCTTCGTCCATCTGAAGTGTGTCATTATCACCCAGCAATTCTGTTTCTGGCACAGACCCCTCCTCTTCCTCCTCCTCTTGGACAGGATTCTGAGCAATGTCTTCTGCTCCGTTGTGCGTGTCATCTGTGCCCTCTGAGAGCAGAGCAGCCCTGTCGGCCACCGATGCATTGGAAGGAGCTGTTGTTACATAGCCTGTGCTGGTGGATCCACTCCCACTGTGGTGGGAGCCTGGTTTGGGAATGATCTGTGGGGGCATTTGCTGAGGAGCCATTTGCATTGGAATTTGGACAGGGTAAAAATTTGGCAAATAAGCACCATAGGCGGGCATTGGCTGGTAACCATTGACTGGAATGTAGAGCTGAGGAGGTGGGACCATCGGTCTCATCTGCCCTTTCATTTGTATGAACTGCGGTTGAGGGAAAGCTGGAGTTTTCTGCTTTGGTCCAATGTACCTAGCATTGCTGACGTTACTGACAGGGCTTGTGCTGAGAGAACTTGTTTGTGTGGTGTTGCTTGCCCCAGAGGTTTGTGCTGAGCTGTTGTAATTTGAAAGGTTTCCCCATGTTCTAAGTCTGTTGTGTATATCTTTAAATCTTGGTCTTCTGTTGGGAAATTCATTCCAACACTCCAACATCAAAGTGTATATCCATGTTGGGCAGTCGTCAGGACATGGCAAAACCTGTCGGTTCCTGATCATCTCAATGACATCCTGGTTAGAATAACCACAGTAAGGCTGCAGGCCATAGCTGAAAACTTCCCACAACACAACTCCATATGACCATATATCTGAATCAATAGAAAACTTGCCATACATAATAGCCTCAGGGGACATCCAACGGATAGGAAGAAGGGAATTTCCCATCAGTTTGTAGTAATCAGCAGCATAAACTTCCCTGAAAAGGCCTAAATCAGATATTTTCACATTCAGTTTATCAAACACCAATATATTTCTAGTGGCTAAGTCCTTATGAACAACATGGTGGTTTGAAAGATACTCCATTCCTGCAGCTATCTGAGTCACGATGTGGAAGAAGTCTGCTGGTTCCAGAGTGGATTTGACTGTCTTGTCATCATCAGTGCTGCCAACATCTGAATGGGGAGATCTCATCACCAAGAACTCATGGAGGTCACTGTGGGAGCAATAACTGAAAATCATGCTTATGGGTTGTTCCTTTGTCACAATTCCCAGCAAACAAACAATGTTTGGGTGCTGTAATCGTGATCTCATCATTGCCTCATGTTTGAATTCTTCCCGAAGAGCCAGTTCTGCTTTGTCCTTAAGTGTCTTGATAGCAACAGCTTGCGTTTGTTCACCTGGTGCAGTACCAAAAAGATGCCCCTTGTAGACTTTTCCAAATCTCTCCTCTCCTAGTTCTTCCATAAACCGTACAGTAGACAGATTAATTTCTTTAAGTTTAGCCTGAAACAAAACAAAAAAAGAAAATCAGTAAAAAATCACAGTGCTTCTGAACAACAATCTATTAAAGAAAAGCTCACAGTGGTTAAATGCTCTGAATGGAAGATAAATTGTGTCAAAATAACATTTCAACTTTTTTGTATATTCACACCAGCATATTGATTTTACAGTTTACCTTGAAATTAGTTATACTATTATCAGAAGTGTAAATTGAATTATGCTGCAAGATGATGATCATAATTATTTCAATAAAGGAGCTACCATATTTCCTGCAAGCTAGATGAATAATCAGTTCAGAGTAAAGCTAATGATGATACCTATTAAATGCAACTGCACTTGCCCTACAGTTCAGCACAGATGTGCCCAGTGTCGAAAGGCCATGGGAACTGAATGAGGAGTTGGCAGCTGCAGAATGAACTGGAACATCCTTTCCAATAAAAGAAGGTTTGAACACTCCCTCTTTCAGTTTTCCAATATCAGATTTATCTTTCTTCCTCCATCGCACGATAGCAACAGCCCCTGCCTATGGGCAGCAGTACACATCACTGGTGCTGAGAAAACTTGAACAAGCTGTGTCAAAGAGTGGGAAAGAAGAGGAACAGAAGGAGGAAGGAACTTTCCTCTGATACAGGAAGGAAAAGCCGGCAAAGCCAAGTCAGAAATCCCTGGATACTGCCTCCCATCTCCAACTAGCAGGGAAAGAAAGGGAGTTCATGATGGTGATCTGATGGGCATGTCCCAAGCAGCATGGGCTGGAGAAGTACCTGGCCAAGACAGGCACAGCCAGCACAGACTCACATAGAGGGCACTGCAGCAGGAGGGAGCAGAGCAGGCTGGAAAGAGGCTTTAACAAGCCTCTTTTAACAAGCCTCTCAAGTGATTTGGGAACAAGGTCTGATTTTAGTGCCCAACAGACTGTGAACTGTACCAGACAGTTTCCAACACAGCCCAGGCTTAGCCATGAAACGTCCTCCTTATCATACAAAATCAATGTCATTTGTTACAAACAGTAATATCCTGCAAAAAAAATATGCCGTATCTTGAGCAGATTTTGCCAACTGTTTCAAACTGGGCATTGCTTTTGAGGATGTGTGCTTTGTAAATGCTATGATTAGAAATTCAGCATTAGATATGAACAGGATTTTAACATGAAGATCATTTAACTGACCCAGAAAATTATATGCAGGAGATGAGATCTATAGACTGCAACTCAAAGCTGTTTTTGTTACCATCATTTGTGAAACACAGCCTGTTGCATCTCAGCTCAGCTCCCCATTTGTGGTGGCTAAGAATACCAGCAGAACGAGCCAACAGATTAAAGATGAAAACCCATTGTGCACCCTGCTTGAAACAAGCTAACCAGTCTTGTTGTTACCAAGAGCGAATATGAGCTGCAGGCTGAAGATTGGATCAGAAATAACAACATTCCCAGTCACTGAGACAGGACGCAGAATGGGGATTGACAGGTAAGTGCAGATGTCATGAAATATTTCGTACCGAAAGCTGCTGCCTGAGGGCAAGATTTCTAGACACAGCTAGTGAATGCGAGACCTCATTTTCACTAAAGTAGATGGCCATCACAATATGAAAACTAGGTGCCTTGCAAAACGTCTTGATTCCAGCACAGAAAGTCTGAGACAAGGTAAATCATGACACATTGGAAGTCTGTGGCCTAAGCAAAATCTGGGAAGAAATACCTGCTTGTGCTGATTAATGAGTGGCATTTCCATGTCCTGGCTAGGAGATGCCATCAGCTGGCGGCGCTGTGGTGTAGCAGCAGATGCCTTCTGCTTGTTTCTGCACATACAGACCAGGAAGAAAAGGCAGGCAATAACCAAAGGGATTGCTATGCTGGGAACCAGGATGTAGAGGATTCCCATTTTGCTGTTGTCACGTGGACCTGTCAGCACAGAAATGTTCACCGTTTATAATAAGTATTTTTAATTCATTAACAATAAATAAATAAATAAATAAATAAAACGAATGGCCATGATTGCTAACAATATACTTTTTAACAAAAAGGAAACACCTCTAAATTGAAAACAGAAGTTGTGTTACTCTCCCCTTCCTCATAATTTTCCGTGAAATATTTCTAATACATTTGAATAAACATAGCAGCAAGCAGTACAAAGATAAACTTGGACTCCCAGATTTAATGCAGTTTGTGTTGGCTGTACCAGCATATGGTTTATTTCACTTTATTTTTGAAGCTTCCAGTTGTAGAAACTGCAGAATATAGCCTTGACTGTCATTGCAGTATCTTGTCCAGGGAATATAAAATAAGTGAATAGTCTTCAGCACAGTATATAAAGCAGTAATCTCAAAGTGATAAACCAGGGCACACTGTTACAGTCTGGCATTCTCATTTCACCTCAGCCATTTCATCAGCACTTTCTCCACTTTTTAACTCCACTGGTACCACTTCCACCCAGAATAAAGTAAATCTCACCTCCCACTGACAGAGATATTGTTTGCTATGTACTTAATAAAATTAAAGTGGTTTTATGTTACAGTGAGACAGCAATGAAAAGGCCATCAATACATTTAATAAGACTATTCTGGAAGCTTTCTGAAATACTTGGTACTTAGAGACTGTAGGACAGCACAGTGATGTCCAAAACATTCACTGGAACTGCCTAGGAAGTCTTCTGCAGTCTGTGGTTTTGCTATTTGTGGCTACTGCTTTCACCACAACCACATCCCCGTGTTACATTATACCATGTTACATGCAATGTAGAAATTTATTGTATATGTCAAATCATGTTACTGTGAAAAAAGTGAACTTAGAAATTTCATATCATTTTTGAGCGTTCTTAAATATACAGGCAATCTGTAATAAAAACATTTTTATGGCTTTCATGGTACATTTGCTGCTGCAGATGACATGGGTTTCTTCCTAATGAAGCACAGTACCAAATTGCTTTGTCACATCTAATGACTATTACCACTGTAGCAGCTCTAGAATGAAGTCTGCACCAATACAGGGAAGCAAACAGACTGCATTAAGCTATAAGAGGCAGTTTGTTTTTTTTTTTTTTTTTGCTCTCAGTCGTGCAGTACAAGATCTACAAGCAGATAACGTAGGGCACTTCTGATACAATCATTTGTTTCATGACATCCCTTCTGTGCTTCACTCAGCTTCCCTGCAACCAAGTGCAGTGTTATATCTCCCTCTACAGGATCTAAAAATCTTCACTGACTCTAAGATGCCACACAGAGCAGAAGCAATATATCACTGAGTAATGTGAGCGAACCAAACTCATACAGATAACAAATTTATCATCTGGCAAGAAAGCATTAAATGTGTATAACACAATACAAGGATGCCACATTATGGTAAGTGAAACATTTGAAAACTTAACTCTCCAAGTAAATTGCACTTGTAAAATACGGACAATTAAAAATCACATGGGATTTGGGGCAGTAGTAGGGGAAAAAAGAAAGAGAATACATACTACAAGAAGGTATGTCACACAGTTCCATGCGTACGTTTTTATTCTTTGTAAAACACCAAGGCCCATCCATCTGACCTCCAGGGTTACGGCAATACGCATGTCCTCCACCTAGCTCTGGAAACTGTGCACTTGTCAGGTCATGGTTGTGGGGACTCTGGGAGTCCCAGAGTTGACAAGTGTGGCCAGATTTGGTAACGCTGACTGTCCCTCTGTAATCTGCTCCAGAACCATTGTAGCACTGATGATCTGTTAAAAAGGGTTTGGTGAAAAGTTACAAATAACAAAACAATCAGGGGCCAGCAAATCCAAAACAGCTGAAGTGCATAGGCCACTTATGTAAAAAAGCAAAAACAAAGCAAAAATAAACCAAAACCAAAACAAAGTATGCTAGGATTTAAGTACTTGAATTTGGGTACTTCAGGATTTAAATCAAAGCTGTGTTGTGTTTTGTTTTTGGTTTTTTTTTTTTGAAATTTCAGTTCTGTGGCAGTCTGTACCCTTTGATACACAGATACATCTGAATTCTGCCCTTGCATGTCTCAGCTTATGGCTGTACACACTATTATTTGGTAACTCTGTATGTCAGTTAGTACTAAGTAGCATGTATGGACCTTTAAATACAGGAAAAGATAAATTCAACTGAATTATAGTTATGAGTTTCATTTCAGGAAAAGTCTTCTGGTGCCAGCAGTGTAAACTTTGTACCATCTTTATTTCTCATAATCTTATTTTCTGACATGCTGACTTCCAAGAGAAACAAGTGCTGTATTTTCTATTGCCTCTTGTCAGTTTTTCTTCTTTTTTCCTTTATAGAAAAGGGATTCAAGCTTTTCTTCTATTTATATACATCACTTTTGTATCTGCTGAACTATCTTTATTCTCTCTGTTTTGCTGTTACCCTCTCTCCATACTTTTTGAGTTGTTGTCTCTCACATGTAGCAAATGAACTGAAACATGCATTTTCTTCTGTATGCTTGCAACATTGCCTTCTTCATTTTTATAAATCTCCCTCCCCAGCCCTCAGGAATCCAACACTCACAAAGCTTCCGTTTCTCATTTCCTGAAAAAAAAAAATTGAGGGCATTTCAACTGCAGCTGTTCCACCAGAGGGAGCACCACTATCTCTGACAGTCACAGGCAGCCACACTTCCAAATCATTGCTGGACTTGTTTTTTATGCTCATTCGTTTTGCTTGATATATTTTCCCTGGCTTATCCACTCTACCATCACTTTCTCAGTTAATTCTGCTTCCCAGTTACACTGGGTTATTGCTTTATCAGCACACAGCAAGTCTTGCATGCCTACTCTTATGTCATTACCCCTACTCCTAACTCTGGCTTCAGAGAACGGATATTCAGAATGATTTTATCAGTCTTTGAACTTTAAACCATGTTTAGTCTCTTGGACCTTCCTTGTTGAGCTTTGTAGGAGGTTGGTGATTAATAGCTAGGAAATCTAGTAGGCAGAGAAATTGTCAGCACATAACAACTGACAACTGAACAACCCTTCTACTCCTGTTTGCAAATGTATATCCACTGAAGTGAGATTAACATTTTCACCCATCCTGTGTGGGTAAAGAAAGACAATTACACCCCAAACTCAGTTTACAGAGTTAGTGCTGTTGTGGATTTCCATATAGAAAGAATGAACATTGAAAATTAACTTTCTTAGCAAACTTTTCCAGTGAAGCTTCCACAGCATATTTAAGGTTTACTGACATGTAAACAGAGCTCACAAATAGCTGTACAGGAGGACTCATCCAGAAAGGTAAGAATGGAGTCAGAGATGGAGACAGGCACCTGGGAAGGGAAGCCTGCAATGCACTGCTGCCCCAAGCATATCTGAGGCAGGTTCACAAAACTGTGAACACAGTTTTGTAGCCCAGGGTAGTTGACAGAAGCCTTTCCAGTACTAAGCACTGTCCTTTAAGCTTCCTCACCGTCCTAACTGTCCCTTACAACAATGCAAGATTATGGTCAGTATTAACACTGCAAAAAGCAGTATATTAACTTACATCTGCTGAGTCTCTCCACAGGGATCCCAATCCGTATACAGTTGGCAGCTTCCAGTGTGTCAGGTCGTGGGAGATCCTCACACTTAGGCAACTGCAGCTGCATCAGTATGAGGGGGTTTGACCTCGCAATGTTGTACTCCTGTCTACAGAGATCATTCTCCAGAACTTCACATTCATCCCTGCACAGTTCCCGTGGCTTTGGGGTCCGAGAGCGCTCATCACACAGAGGAAACACAAAGTGGCAGAACGATGGTATAGCGAACTGTGAGCACTGATCAGACAAATGTGTGGAAGTGCCAATCATGGTAAATGCAGCTAGGAAGGAATAAAAACACTGTTTAAGTATTAATTCATAATACACATTCAAAACAATTTTTACATCATTTACTTTTTACATCTTTCACCTCTAGTTGAGGCTCTGAAAGCCTACTGAGCAGTAGGGCAATGAGGTTATCTCTAAAGCAAAGGACAGGTGACAAACGCAGGAAAAAATAAATAAATAAATAATAAAAAATAATAATAATAAAAAATAAAATAATAATAATAATAATAAAAAAAACAGCATCCCAGGGATACTCTGACATCTGCAATTAGCTTGTAGGACCTCAGTTCTTAGGAAGTTACCCATGTAACTAACTGAGTAAATTGTTGGCACTTGACTAACTTTGACTAACCTGAAAGGATAAAGATCCAAGGCAAGATTCACCTGACAGAATGCTGACCAAAGTTCCCAAAGTTTCTAGTTGGATAAAATTTGAATGAGGATCATTTAGGTTCTTTCTCCTATGGACATTCTGATCAATAAGCAAGACAAGTGTTTTTCAGGTCTTGACAGACAAAAGGAAGTATGCCATTCGTATTTGGGGAGATATTGCTATTAATTTATAAGAGAAGCCTAACTGGCAGCAGTTTGGGGAAAAAATAAATCAATATCAGAATACTGATAGCATTAAGATGAGTATTGATGAGATGAGGTTAATGACTTGATCCTCTCCTTCAGCTCTCACCACCTACACACTAATGTTTATCTGGGAGTTTTCTTGCATGATAAAATAAAATAAATTATACTACTACTACTCATAATAATAATAATATTAATAATAATGAGAGAAGTAAAAAAGTGAAGTGTACATGTTGTGCATCATATATCTGGGATGAATCAAGCTTTAAACATAGAAACATTCAATCCCACACTGGAAAACATCAGTTTTGAGTAAGGCTTGCTAGACTGCACATCCCACCTATGAACATTGTAAAAAGAAAGGAAATGAGTAGCCCAAGTCATTCAACAGTGTCTTTCTAATCTATGGATCAATTCTTTCCCTCTTGTATAGCTCTCTCCTTCCTACCATCTACTTCCTGCTGCCACCTGCTATGAGAGAAACTCCTATCTCTTTCTAAACACCACACATGCAGCAGCCCCAGCTCCAGCCTTTTGTGCAGCCTATACCTTTGTTGATTTTAATACAGGAATGTAACCTTTCAATACTGGATGCAAGCACAACATCAGGTCTCAGAAAACAGCTATGAGATGTACATGTCCTTAAGACTAACAGGGAAAAATTCAACTTGCAGGACAGAAGCAGTTGGCTATCTGAAATTCCATAATAATTTTCGTGAAAGTGTTACAGAATTTAGATTGCCAGGAGGGAAAGGTGTGTAATTTATAATCGTGGCCTTATTTTGATGGGAAGCAAGCAAGGGTGTGTAGCGATAGCATAGCACAGAAACAAGAAATCCAGATAGAGAAACACAGGGAGAGTCTGATTACTATGTGCCAAAGGGCGGGCAGCAGTACTGAGAGCAAAACATCAGCAGTATGAAGTGTTTCCCCATCCAAACCCTGCATATCATTGCCAAGATCCTTGGTTTTCCAAGTCTGCCAGAAATGGCCCAGAAACCCCATCAGCCACTCATGTTTTTCTAAGCTCCTTTCTCAAAGTTTGCTTGCTCCTACAAAACTATGGTAAACCCCTGAATTTATTATTGTACTGCTAGGTCTCTTTCCAGATTGTCTCTTTCCAGACTGAAGACTGAAAGAAGAGCATCTGAACAAAGTATGTGGGAAACATGTTGAGGACATCTGAATGAAATATGTGGGAAATATGTGAAAAGATTAAAGCATCTGAGGGGTTTATTTTTTCAGTCAAACAGATATTAAACAGCACAGTAAAGACATTGCTAATCACACATATCCACGGTTCAGGGGTGAGGCCGATGCACTCTTTATTGTTGGCCTTCCGGTCTAAGTCATGTTTCAAGTTTTTCCCCTAAGTGTCCTCCTTTTTTTTTTCCAGGCTCTGTTTCTCATATTACTGCATGACCAGGACCAAGCAGCACCACAGGCAGTAGAGATAAGTGATTTCATTCTGAATCCAGAATGGAAATTCCCTGTAGATATTATAGAGTCATAGAATGGCTCAGGTTGGAAGGGACCTTAAAGATCTAGTTCCAACCCCCCTGACACGGGCAGTGATGTTGCCTGTGACCTTTTCAAGTGGTTGTACTGTTGGACGGTAGGTGTCACCGTTACCCAGTCACAACCTCCACTGAATGGTGTACAGTTCCGAGTACAAAGCGATTCCACCAAAAACTTAAAAAGCACAGGCAAAAGTGTAAACAAAATCTAAGGAGAAGTTATACAGCAGATATTTTACCTAACCAGGTAGAGGAGTTTCAAAAATATATCAGCATTTGGGTAGGGAACACCCAGTATCGCAACACTTGTTTTATTTTTGAGAAGACTCAAGAACAAAGCGTATTGTGAAGTCCTATAGTTCTGTAGGACTATGAAGTCATATAGCTTGCACATGGCTTCTGGTATGTCCTTCAGATGTATATACCCTAAAAATGCTAAGTTATTAATGCTTTATCATTACAGCCTAGCTGGGTACTAGGCAGTTCTATGCGGTGGTTCAGAGTTTTCAGCCTAAAGAAAGTTAACAATAGAAATTCTCTCTAACTCCTTTACAGTGTCCCAGCCCACGACCTCCAAAAAGCTAACCAATAATTGGTGGTACTGGGGAACCACCAGCCAGATCATGAATGTTCATGCTGTATATTCCAGAAACAAATACGACTTGATCAATAACCATTTTCTGCATCTGGTCAAGACAGATTTGATGTCATAGCAAAAATGTGGTATCAATACTATGAATTTATTAGTGATAGAATGGTAAAAAAGGCCACAATTCCAACAGAGTACATGAGAAAGAAGGGAGGGAAATGAGTCATAAAAGGACAAGGAAAGATTGGAACTGAGGTTTCAGTTATCCCAGATTTGATCACCATATCCTAATGTCAAGAAGATAAAAAAACTGACCTGGATTTCTGGCTTGACAATGAGCCTTTAAAGTAATATATTTAAGGGGACAGAGATGACAAGTAAACTCAAGATTTTTTTTGGCAACTAGTTCTGTTTAAATTTCAGATTCAATTAGTTAGCTGTATCTGGCCAGATGCAAATAAGCTCCTGATGGACTGTGCTAATTGGCCATATATAACAATAGAAGGTTTGCTCTGTTCCACAGATTGATTTGCTTGCTCTGATTGTGTCCATCAGAATTGCAGCTGCTATCATCAATGATCACTCTGATGAGTGAAAGTCCAGTGAAGAAAAATCTGTGTTGATATACAGCCCATTAAAAGTCATTAACATTTTGGAAACATTTTATGAGTGTGTTCTGAAATGATGACCAGAGAAGGAATCAGCAGGGGCAGAGCACAGGAAGGTCAGCTCTTGCTTTATATAAATCAGTGTGAAATCCAGACTCTTCTGTGATTATGCAGTACGGGAGGAAACTCAAGGAAAAAGCCACTATACTTATTTCAAGAAAACTAAGGCACAACTTATTTATTTATTCATTTTTACATGAGAACGCATTTGCTTTTTAAAAAATTGTGTGTTGGAATCTGTCATGCAAGAAGTTCCAGAAGGAACTACAAGTTGTTTAAAAGAAAATGTCCCGATATTTTACTTAAGGCAAGGAAATTCCTTGCTTCAAATTCTTGCTTCCTTGCTTCAAATTCTGCTATATGCACAAGTGAAAGAATGGATTACCTACTTTGAGTCTTAATAGAGTATATCTTAGTCATTGACTTAAAAAACTGAAAAGGATGACAACATTGCTTGTACCTGAATTGGATATTTCCATAGTTTTCTGTTCTGCTACAGAGATCTATAACCTTACCAGTAATTCGGTTTTCAATTTCCCCTTGCATCTGGAGGGAGTCCACATATATGGTCCTGTTTCCAATGATTCGTGCACATGCAATGCCTCTGTATGGCTGACAGAAACCATCTTCATGGTAATCTTCTCTGCAAAAGACAGGTTAGGATGGTATAAGTCAACGTCTAGGACTGTATATCGCAATTAATTTTTACAAAACATATTCTTATAAAAGGAGAAAATCCCCCAAAAATGCAAATCTAAAATTGTTCAGTTCTTCAGATGAAGCTTTCTCCTTCAATTCTCTCTACACTAGTAAATTAATATTACATTAACAAATGAGGCACACTGTAAATAGCTTATTAGGGAAAAAAAAAAAAATAAGGAAAACAAAACCTGAGATTAATTTTGAAATCATATTCTAATAGTAATGAAGTTTGACAGATAAATTTACTAAAAAGCTGTTAGACTGAGGCAGCAACATAGATCTTGTTACATGTCCACATGCAGTTTTGGCATCTAACTGCATCCAGTACAATTAGAAAAACAGTTGGTTCTCTTCTCCCACCTCACCCTTGCTCTTTCTTCATTTCCTGTAGTGAACAGCAGAAGACACCTTGCCAAACTTTAATTAAAATAAGAAATAGTTTTGAATGCTTAGTTAGGTAAACAGAGTGAAAAGTAATCAAGGTTTTAACCTCTTTCCTCCTCTGCCTGGTCCGAGTCAATACCAAATTCTTTTTCCTACCTATAGTTTAATACATTTTTCAACTGAATGAGCTTTTGGGCCAAGTTCAACTCCCTGACATCATTGTAAATATTTTGACATAACAGGACTGGCCTAAAGGCTCAGTCATTCAACACAGCATCCTCAAAGCCCAAGTAAATAATACTGATCTGTAGATGATAACTCTCTGAGCCCTGTAAAGGGGCTTCCTAGTGAGGGCACTCTCAGAGAGAATCTCCACTATACCATGCATTTCCTCTGGCACAGCACAGTCTCTGTGCCAGGATCCACTAGCTTGATGGGTTCATAGCACGTCACTCATGATGTACTGAAAAAAAGCATAAAATGTGACCTGGAAAAACATCACTCTGGAGAAATCTTTGGATACCCCAAAACTTAGTCATCTTTCCTAACAGTCAGGTCAAAAGTGTGAGGCATCCCCTCCAATACCAGCAATATTTGAAATATTACTCCTATATTCTTCTGCATTTCATACTCTATTTATTACCTTCAGATGTTGATACCTGTTTTGGCTACACATATTTCAATTTCTTCTACACATATCTTCATCCTTCCTTTTTTTGCATGTCACATAAGCAGGACAAGGTTGTCAGTGAAAACGTGTAAAACTACAAAACTCCATCTGGGCCAAACCAGCACTAAAACCTGCAGTCTGACAACAGCTAGCCATGATGAGCATACCACCCAGCACCTACACAGTGCTGAGTGCAGCCTGTTATTCTTGATATCCTATTCTATTTTAGAATGTTCCTTTATTTTTTCCCCTGCTGCTTCTTCCTGAAAAATCTCTTCAGGGAAATGTCACCTCTATTCCTTAGGTTATAAACTCATTGGAAGTGGGAGGGAGGGTAGTCAGGACTGTCCACACAGGGTAGCCAAAAGCTGGAACTATCAATCATTACTTGAGCATCAATCCTCCCTTGCTTCCTGGAAAGATGATGACTTAACAGGACCTGACCCATCACACAGCTGCTAGATGAAACATGCTGATTTATGATATGAAGTGTCTCATGCAGTTGTTGTCTATATCTGGCCCTTATTTCCTACCATAGTATGATTGTTATATACTTTTAGAACAACTTTTTGTCTGCAAATTCTGAAACAAGTTCTGCTTCCAGAAAGATAGGTAATTTTTCTATTGTGGTGGATGAAGCAAAAGAGGAGTCTTTTGGGATCAATTAAATGTTGCAGTGAAATTCTTTCACACTAATAACAAAACCTCTAATTTTGCAAAAACTGCATCATGCCTGAAGGGACAAAAATATCAAAGCAGTTTCTCTGTGCCTGTTTTATGATCCTTGACCACCTCAGTAGGAAGTCGGCAATTCCCATAAGGAGCTGAATGAATATGAAACCCCTATTTGACCTCTTTCTCAAGACTAAATTCTTACCCCTATAGCCCTATCCTGCAGAACAAAGTCTGTAATGTATCTAAGTGAAATTGTACCTCACATTTCAACTCTTAGTGCAGGTCTCTCTTGCCAGAACAGGGAAAAAGAGAAAAGGAAAAAAAAAAAAAAAAAGAGAAAACCAACCATAAAAGCTAGCAGGGGTTTGGTGACAAAAGAAAGCAGTATGATCTCTTACTTAGCTCAGTTTATTTATTTCTGTCAAGAACTTCTAAATACAGCTTAGATATTATATATACACACATGTGCTCCCCTCTCTCATGTTGTAGTCAACTGCTGATTAAACTGAACTGGATATGACCATTACCATGGATGCAAGCAAAAGTAAACAGTAACCTGATGTCAGATACTCTGACTGAAGCAGAGCTCTTGCTCTACACATATCTTTGTCAAGTCACACAACTCAGCTTGGCCACTACTAGTGATCAAGGGGGGAAAATTGTTAGTCTTCTGAGCAAAATGTTTGATTTTGACAAAGCTGCAGTAATGGCAGCACTACTGGTACTTACAGTCTCCTTATGGATTTCTCCTTCCTCCCTCTGCTACATATAGACTCAGCACATGGCAAAGTGTTTGCAGTAAAAAGCAAGGTGGGGGAAATCTGATAAAATAGTGCAGGAGAGGCAGCACGCTCAGTTCAAACAGGAGGCTTTGGAACCATGTGCTTCTTTGATTCATGCCCTAAACCATATGCCAGCAAGTCAGTTGCTGATTAGAGCAAGAGTTAAAAGCTGCTGAAAATAGGCAGAAATACTGACTCTTCAATTTCCTGCTCCTTGAGCTGTAAAGTCTGCTCTGATCAAGAACCCTGGTAAAAGCAGAAATCTGACTCCACAAGAGGAATCCAGAAGATTTGAATTTGTCCTACCTGCAGAAATCTTACAAGCTCACTAGGTATTATTACAGCCATAGATACTATTCGCCATTTTTCTTTCTGAATGTTTCAAGACAGCAATGCCTTTTCCCACCAATAATTTTCTTCATTTTAACATAACTTTATTTATTTATTTTATACATCAAAGAGTCAGGAACATCCTATATCTTGGCCTTCTTTTTCACCTTTGCTAAAGTACTACCTCAAGGACAAGTCACTTGTAAGAAGTTTTTCACAGAACCCAGTTGGAATGCAGGTGAGATCAGGTAAGTTCTCCCACTAAGAGAACTCTCCTCACAGCTGCTTGTCAGATTGTGGATTTAAACCAGACTTTAGGTTTAAAAACAATGTTGTAAGGAATATGGCCTAACAGTCCCTTTTTCTAAAACACCAACTTTTGTTTCTCAGGGTGAATACCATTAATTTTCCAGACTCAGAAAGTGATCTTAACATAAAAACAAAAAAGTTGAGAACTAGCTTTTCTAATATGCAGATAGAGGAGGAAAACCTTCTGTATGGAAAACACATAATTAAAAGTAGCATCTGTGTTTTGGTCTTATACACAACATAAGGTGTACGTAAGATCCACCATGCTCACAAGGTCTGAAAACATTGGGAAATCTGCAAGTTCCTCATCACACACACACTGCATGACCCAATTAAACATAGTTGGCCTTCAGGTTTGTGGGCAGAAGAAATCTGCATGAAAGGGAGAATTAAACAAGTGATATAAAAGGCTCAGTGGTTCAGCGCCTGTTGAATCTCCTTCTAACAATGGAAAACGTAACTTCCTGGGATATGTGAATCTGTAAAGCAGCTGTGGGAAGACCTAGGTGTCCCTGAATGGGAACAAAAGCAAGCACACATGGCTGGAAATGTCTGTAGACATGGCTGGAAATGTCTGTAGACAGAGAAATGCCACCAATGGTTTGAATCCAGGCCTGCTGTCTTTGAGCTGTTAGGAGATGAGATAGATACTCTCATGCAGGACATGCAGTGCCTTCTGCTCAGACACGCCTCTGGCCCTGAGGATGGGCTGCAAAAAGCAGTAGCTTTCTATTAGATAGTTTGAAATAAATGTTATTCAGAAATAATGGCTTTCTTTAGCTACGAGTATTTACCATATGAAAACAACTGTACACAAGGTCATGCAAGATATCGGTAAGGTAAAGCTGTCCTCCAGAAGTACATGGAGACAAGTCCAAGGCTTCTGCAAGCACTGCAAAAATACACCGAGCACTGCTACCCCCGCACAATAACCATCACTATATTTCCAGAGGTGACACACAAGGAACACTGAACAAAAGGCTACAAAAGAAAATACCTAGGAAACAAAGAGGCTTTTCTGAATGGAAAATCTGAAATGCTCAAAGAATACATCTGGGTATAATACACTATATGAGATCTATGTAACACAATCTATTGTATGCAACTGTCACAGCCGAGTAGGCCAGAGGGCATATGAAACAAAAAAGTCCCAGTAAATAAAAGGCAATTGTGGAAACTGTGCTCAATACCAAGATAATCTTGTGATGCATATAAGTCTAGTGACAGCTTTCAGCATACATTGGGTTCTTTGAAAATGAAGTGAGAGCTGACCTACTATCTTTACTTGAAAATGGTAAAAGCACTTGAAAGCAAATTTAGCGTAAGGGCTCATGAAATGAATTTTGAATGCAGAGTTGAGAGGTACTAGAGGTACTATTTATTTGCCAGTAAGATACGTTTTTTCTGGTTGCCTCCCACAAACTTAACTTGAAAAGACAAAGAGAAACTTAAGCTAAAACATTTTTCCTGATAACAGATGCAACACTATGCATCAGTTGGAAAGAGGAATTCAATTCCTCCAGAAAACCCGGAAATGGGAATTTTGACTCAGCAAGTGAATGACAAGTCATTAGAAAAAAACAATCTTTGATTTTTTTGTTACTGGCAGTTACACATTGAGAAGCCATTTTATAATCCAATAAGTAACTTAATTTTTCACTGTAATTAATTCAGCGCTGGTATTGGAAACGAGGGAGGCCAACACCCATACGATATAGTTTCAGTTTAAAACATAAGCAAGCCCTGAGTATTCCCTGTAATAATGTTTGTTAGCCACAATAATTAATAACT